GCCTCTGGGCAGAAGGCAGACAAGTTCTGCAGGGAACAAGTGAAAGGACTGTCCATCTGGCACAGTTGTTCCCTCGGCTCCTGTGACAGTAACAATTTCTTGCGTGTTCCAATCACAGACATTGGCTATCTCGATCAATTCCTGGCTAGTAGTATAGTCTGGAGCGCGCATGGCGAAACATCTGCCGTCAAGCTGGCCCGTACTAAAGCAGCAACCTTGATTCTCTCCGGCCCATCGCGGACCGGAGATAAAAGTAGCCTGGTGCTCGAAAGGCTGGGGAGTGACAGGGATCAAGACAGGATGAGTCCCTCTATTCTCTGGGCTCCTTGCAGCCTGAACGGCATAGTCAAGTTCTGTGATTGTGGCTGGGAGCTGGAGCGCGACAGTAACCTTCTCAGGGACATAACCCTCCTTAAGGATGACACAAGGAATCCGTTGCACTATGTCCTCCTGAGAGGAGGAGTCGGACTCTTCTCCTATATTAACAAGGTCATCTCCTGCGGCAATGAATCCAGGCATTTCGTCCCGGAGCCACCTTCCTCCGAGCTGCAGAACCAGGGCACGCAAATATGTAAGGTGCCTATTATCACTGCTGCTTCTACCGGTAGGTTCTTGCAGTAGCTTATTTGTTAGTATCGCTGCAGATACTGAAGGCCACTGCCAGCTCAGTACGCATCGAACAGAACTGAGCAAAAGCTTGCAGGAGTGCAGGAGGTCCCCAATGAGCTGTGAAGGGGACCCAAAAGCAGCGAGGATAAGACATACTCCAATTGCAAGAGTTGCGCGTTGTCTGTCAACTGCACATTTATCTGGGGAGTCATGCGTGGCAGCTTTAGCAAGGTCAGGACCAGTGCAAAGCAGGATTGCAGCTTGCAGCGCTGCCTTCCCATTCTGAATACTTGTGGTAACCGCCGTAGGTCGTTCTGGATGCATGGCGGTGTCTCCACAATTTGGTGGAATTCGCTGCCTTCTTGTTCCACCTCCAGAGTCTGCTCCGTCTCCACCGTTGAATGCAGGCTCGCTATTGTCACAGGCAGCACTAGAGGTAGACTGTCGTGAGTGGGATGGAACGTCTCGTGAGAAGTTGTCGGGATTCTCGTCATCAGCTTCATCTCCTCCCTCAAGTTCAATCGATGAAGGGGGGGTAACGTCTTGTATGAGGGCTGAATTAAGCCTGTACCCAAAAATAAACACAGTCCCCTGCGGGGATTTGTCGTTGATCTTGGGGGCACACCTTGTGAAGACTATGTGGTGTAGCGGTGGCGGCCTGAGACCGAGCCAATCTGCGTATCCTAGAGGGTCGTCTATGTCCTCTGTATATGTCGAGGAAATACCCGCGTTAGCTGGCCTGCCATCAAGAAAGAATAGTCGGGTTGGTCTGTCAGGCACAGGAGGAAGAGGCACTACCGCGAGGACCCCTTTACAGTCTTGACCAGAGTGACTATAGTCCCCTAAGTAGAGACCAAGTGGCCTAACTAGGGTGACCTGCTGGGGAAGGCGATCAACCAGATCAGCTATAGTGCTAAGCAGCTCTGGGGCACCTATTGCATCAAGGTCAAAAAGTCGATGCTGATCCCCGTTGAGGGCAAGAAGCCGACTGATAGCTTGACTCGGTGGCAGAACAGGATCCCTTAGCCAAGGAACCTGCTGGTTCAACCGTGGGGCAAGATGATCGAACCATTGAGGTTGAGTGCCAGCAGGCTGGAACTGAAGAACCCAGCCAGTGTCGACGTAGAAACTCTCTCCGGTAGTTTGGGGGTGATGCGATCCTGCAACGAAAAGACACCAACTGTGCGTGGTGAACCTTGCTGCTTCTTGTTGGCACTCCCAAAAAGTAACAACGCTGAAAACGACTTTGGCGTAGATTGGACCCCCAAGGCCCCGAAAGTCGTATACAACAGTGTGTCTTCCGGTGGGTGCGTGCCAGGTGGGGATAAGGACTAAAGAACCAAAATCTCTGCCGCACTGAGGTTTGGTGGGACAGAGGGCATCGAAGAAGGGCGGAAGCCTACCATCTAAGGACCTATCAACATCCCTGAGTGCCTCTGCCTCGGTGCACGGTAGCCCCAGGTCAGGGGAGACAGTGATGGCATGATAGCCCGGAATGTAGACCTGGAATGTGCATGGGGAAAAGGCTCGATCAGTGGCCGACATGCATCCGGCAGAGAGGGTCTCAAGAGGGCCATAAATGGTCATCGGCGCTCGGTCTCGTAAAGCCCTCACATGTGCCTCTGCATCTACGGCATCTAACACTACCCGGCTGGCGCAAGGGCGATGTGAAGTTACAGCTGCATCAGTATGAGACAAATTGCTTACTTCAGGTAAGTGGTGAGGAGAACCGTAGGCCAGAGGGTCTCCCCGGGGAGAACGACTCCGAAGTGAAAGCCTGCTGCCTTCAGAGTCACTCAGATCAGCTTGCTCATCCTCGTCACGAGGGCCTTCCGACTCAGTCTCTTCATCCTCCCTTGCTGAAGAACTGGGATCATCAGCTGGTGCACTAAAGTCGCTATCAGGCACGGCCCGAAAGACTACGACTTCACCATGTGTCACTTCAATATAATATCCTTTGGTTTCTTTACCAACTACCTCAATCTCTATGCCTGGCGGGAGTTCTTTGTCGTGTGCTCGTAGGACAGTTGGAAGATGTAGGTTGTCATCAGCTTGACACCAGCCGAAAGGCCTGACTCCTAAGGGTCGGAAATCGAGGAAGATACATAATGTCCTCTCTTGTTGACTACTGTTGTTAGCGTAACCAGAAGGCCTGTCGGCTAATAGTGCTATGCCATGGCAGGGCTGTCCATGCAGACATAGATCGGAAATGCTCGGCCCGCTGGCAAAAGCAAAATCAGTGTCTTGCACTCGACATCCTACTGTTGTGGCAGCTGCCTGATGCATCTGTCCTGTGTCAAGTGCGGCCGCGGCCAAGAGCCACCTCTTATCCCCATAGAGAAGGCAAACGCCTGCAGTGGTTGGCTCTTCAGGTGCAGTATAGCGTGTCCACTGGTCAGGGACAGATAGCAAGTCATGTTGTGACGGTCCGGGCTGGTAGCCTCTTCGCTCATCACAAACTGTCAGGACTGTACCATGGACAAGCGTAAGATCTTCCTCAATGTCATGCGGAGTGCTAGACATGCCGACATAAAGGTTGACATTGAAACTGCCAACTGGGAGCATCGGCATTGCAAATGAGACCCACTCGGAAAACCGAAGCGTAGACGGGAGCACCGTGGCAAAGACTGGACCTCCTGCAGGCTTGAGGTTTATGACTACGGTAGCGTGGTCCTGCCCGTCCAATGCACATGGGTACGCTATATAAGTCAGCATACCAGGGTAGGGGGACGGATTGACAGCTACTACGCCATTAAGCAACTCAAAAGGAAGGCGTGCTGCGGTCTGTTTAACGCACCCAAGAAGTTCTTTTACCCCTACCCTAGTAGGCACGTCAAGGGTGACAAAGCTTGTCTGATAGTGCGGTGCCATGATTGCTACCCATATGCTTGGTACCTGCTCTGAGTGTTGGCCACTGTTGCTAGACTGGCCTAGATGGGCTGGTTTACGCGAGGGACCTGCTGACCCACTGCTTTTAGAGAATGCCTCCTCAGCCTCTAAGAGGGCTTCTCTTTGCACTTCTTCAACTAGCCCACGGGTGTGGCTGCTGGAATCATGGGCATAGTCTCCGTTATCAGGAGAGATCAAGGTCCCATGCGGCGGCGGGACTGCGCAAGGGCCACGCTGCCTTGGAGAAGGTAGCAGATCGGTAGCTCTCTCGATTTGCTGTAGCGCCTCGGAATAGCCCTCTGGTGCTGCCCAAACCTGGAGTGGGAGAACGTAAAGGCCAAGAAGCAGTCGTAAAGCTGTCCCAACAAGAGGGCCTAGTGCCTTCGCACAACCCCTTCTGGGTCTGTGATTTTTGCGTTTAGGATGCTTGCCATAAGTGGGCCGCGAAGGAACACCTATGCACCCAAGTGAAAGTACTATTTCGGCAGGTATGGAGGCAGTCGGTACTGAAAGGAGTCTGGTAAGTGGAGACCGACCTGGGACTGCAAGAAGAATGACACGCCATAAAGATAGCGTCATTACAGCTCCAAAAGCGAGTGACACACCACTTGCTAAGCCTACAAGTACATTGAGCAATGAGTCGTCCTCTGCGGCGGAGGACCCTGAGCCACCGATTCCTCTCTTGGGCGCCGCTATGAGAACTGCACTGACGTGAAAGTCCCATCGTCTGTTTGTTGTTTGCGTAGAAGAACGACCGGTGCCAAGCTTCTCAGCTGGCAGAAATGTGCACCGAAAACGGGGTGATGTGGAGGCGATCGACCCTGAGCGACCGATTCGATTCTTGCGCGCTCTCACACAATCACCCAAAACTAACAACCTGCCTTCAAAAAGATGTCTTCCCAGGCAAGTACAACATGGTACACATCCGGGTAGTGGACGAAAATTAACTCTCCCTGAGACTTGCTTGAGGGAGGGTTTTACAAGACTGCTCCAGGATTCCACCTGCAGAACAGAGGAAGGCATGAGGATGTGGCAACATCCGTGTGTGATGCGTAAGGGCACTCCGGTGGTATAGGACAGTTTGCTATGCCGGATGCTGGCTTCAGGCGGGGGAGGCATGAAGAAGTCACAAACCCAGTGACTCCTCGTGCCCCGCGAGGAAGATTGTTGGGAAAGACCGTCAGAGAAGTGACGAGCCCAGTCACCCTCTGGCGATTTTCCCTTGACGAAGGATATAGAGGAAAAAGAGGACACCGACCAGCCTTCGTAGCTAGGCACACAAAAGCAGGAAATATGAAGAGGCTGTACAGCATATTGGTCTCTGTACAGACTGCACTCACTTTCACTCCCAGTCGCATCGACAATTCTCCCAGTAGGTTGACCGAGGGAAAGAAGAACAGCAGGAGACTCAACCCCAGGAGTCTCAACTGCGTTCAGTCCCCACAGCCCCTGCAAGGAGAATTGCCAAAGCAACCGCAATTCCGAAGCTGCCTTGGTGTAACTCACGTTGGCTCTCCCTCGTTTCCGTCCTTTCTGGTCCCAGCATGCTCGTCCTTGTCTTTTTGCGTGTCGTCGTCGTCGATGAGAGTAGCGACCGGAGGCTTTGTGGGGTTGATCTGGTTTAGGGGACCCACTTTGTCTGCTTGTGCTCCTCCGAAAGGCTCCATTGCTCGCTTGACAGCAAGACGCTGTGCGAGCTCGTCGGCCGCACCAACCATTGACTGCTCCCCATTGTCGGCCATGCCTTCGTAGGGTGTCACACGTGCACTCGGTGATGTGGGCTTCATCTTTGCGTACATACTCCCTGGCGATGCATGATATGGTCCTCTGACATCCGCATTTCCATTCCCAGAGTAGCCCGTATCCACTACTCCCGTGACTGGTTGAGGTACATGCGCAGTCATCTGAGGCATATGCGGCCATTCCCCTGGAGGAGCCGCCGGCATCTCTGAGTCTGGGAGTCCGCGAGTCAAGAACACTGGGTGGAGCTCCCCCGAAGGTGGGTGTGCCAACTCCTTGCCCAGCCTGTCTCTGGGCATGAACCTGAGCCGCGCTTGCCGTCAAAGCACGTTGGAGAATCCCTTGTGCATCGTCTTGTTCCTCGTTTCGCCAAGCCTCGAACATTCGATCGACCTTGGTGTCCTCTTCCTTGGCGATGGTAGGCGCGCCATTCGTGTGGACATCCAGGAGTGCCCTTCTTGACACTTCCTGTTCGATCAAGGCTTTCTCCAAGTCCTGCTCCAACTTCTCCATATCTTTCAGGTATCTGGCATGTTCCCGGGCATATGCGACTTTCATGTCCTCGTGGTATTTGTCCCAAAGCATTGCACGCTCCTTCTTGTTGCGTGCAACTGTACTCACCCTTTGTTCTGTCTTTCGTGTATGGTTCAAGGCAGACTGGATGAGGTTGACCACCGAAGGTGGGCCATCGGTACCCATGGGCTCCACTGCATGTCCCCAGTCTTGTCGGGTCCTCCGGTCGTAAGCCTGGTAGGACTGACTCGCCTCTGGACTTCGAGGCCAGGCTCCACGCCAGTATTTGTAGCCATACTGCTGTCCACTTTGGCTGGGATAAGAGTTTCCTCGCCATCCTTGCTTTCCCATCGACCAGTTCTGAACTAGTCTACCACGTCCTGAACCGTGGTGGCTAAAAAGTCGCCGCTTTTGAAGTCCAGAAAGAACACGACCAGCTCTGTAGGAGCGGCGTGCTCGTGATCTGGTTTGTCTTTCCTTCCTATGCCAGGAAGGCGAATGCAGCTGAATGGGCCGGCGATCTGAGCCCTACATACATACATACATACATACATACATACATACATACATACATACACACACACACACACATATATATATATATATACATATGCATGCTTGTATACATTGACATGTACAAGGGAAACATGTGCACACATGTGAGCGCATGCGTTTATATTCCAAGCTCGCCTGCTGTCATTACATTTTACCTGCATCTACATGGCTGTTTACACCTAGGCTATGCCGTGATGGCACAGCAGGCGCAATCTCAGAATGCGATTCTGTCACCGCTCATTGTTGCTCGGCAGCTTAGCATTTGGGATGGCGTAGTCTGTAAAGTGCGCTTGGTGCAGAGCCTGTTGGCTCATAGGCCACCCCACACAGAAGGAAGTCTTCTGGTGAAGGCTTTTCTGTTCCCAAGTGTAAGTACTTCCTGCCAGAGCTTGCGAAGCTGAAGCCACCTTTCTAAGAAACCAGACAGAGAGGGAAGAAACCAGACAGTCGTGCTTCCCAGGAGCCGTTGCCTCCCAGTGCCTTGGCGAAATTTAACAGGCTCTAGTTGCTCTAGAGGTGGCCCTCTGCTTATCAGCCGACGTCAACGCGCAAGAGCCAGAACTGCAAGCTGTTTTCATTCTTCGCCAACCCCCCACCTGTCGAATTGGGATTCACGACACACAACGCAGGGTTTGCAAGTCGATGAAAAAAGGCACGCACCAGCCGCCAAAGCTCCCAGGTGGGGTTGAGAGTGTGAGATTCAGCTGCCAGTTGTTTTCGGATTCGTAAGACTCGCCCAGCATCAAGGGCTTGTTTGGAGTTATGGCTTGAGTGGTGCATGTGGTGTGGTTTTGATTGACAAGCAGGGTTCCAGAAAGCTGCTGCATGTTTGCATGTTCAAGACGGACAGGAAGCCGCCCCGGCAGCAGCCGGCCAGGCAGCCGGCCAGGTACCGCAGGCAGCATCATGCTTTTCATCCTTCAGGTGACTTGTGAGCCTAGCGCAAGCAGTCCGTCGAACAAGATACCCTGTACATACATATATTTATGTATCTCTGTGTGTGTGGTCGACCAGGCATGGTAATATAAAGCCGAGGTTAGAGGAACCCTTAACCCTGAACCGGGTGTGTTCACGGTTTTCGGTTCTTGCATGTTTTTATGTGGGTTGTTGCGTTGGGTTCTCTCGGCCATAGTGTCTTTAGTTTCGCCTTTGAGAGAGTCGTTGCTTGAATCTGTGCCTTCTTCGTGCGAGTGTGCGAGTCGAAACCAGAGAGCCTGCGATGTCCAGGACGCCCGCAGTCAGTGCAGGCTCGGGGACCTGGCAGCAGTTCCGCCAAACATTTTCAAGACAAAATCCTCATTGAAGACCTTTTGAAAGTTGTGTGCAACCTATGGAAACGCTGAAGAGAATCCCTTGTAAGACTTTCTCAAGCCCCAGCTTCAGCTAAGATACATCCAAGATGGGGCCTGGAACGGGCAGTTTTGGTTTTCTGGCAGGGGAATAAGCTTGTTAGAGTTTGATTGGGCAAAGTAGATCTCTCTCCTTCCCGAGAAAGGTCAATCCCGAGTACAAGTTGTGGCATGAAGCTGGATTGCGGACTACTCGTGTGGCGAATACTGTGTTTGCATCATCAACCAAAAATGGTTGGCCTGTGTCGAAGCCTAAGCCTAAGCCTTCGCCATTGCCTGAAAGGCAGGTGAGGCAATGGTGCCAGCATCTGCATTGTATTGCATGCTCTCTGTCTCGTTGTTCTGAATGCGCATGCGCACCTGCGGGGTGGCTGAGAAGCTTGGCGACACGGGCGTGTGCAAGGAACAGTCAGCTCAAGAGCTTGATTTGTGATTGGTATTCAACAGGCCTGGGCGCGACCTGCCTCGGCGCTTTCTTCGGGGCGGCCCACCTCAGCGCAGCGGGGTGCGAAGGCCGCATCGGACTTCGCTGGCTGGAGTCGTTGTGAACCAGGGAGGGTTTCAGCATTGCATTAAGGCGAGGGCACTGATCGGCCAAGTTGGGAAGGCAAGAGCACCGCCAGTTGCAGAACTTCACGAGCTTGGATTTGCCAAGCTGCATGGTTGATTGAGTGTGTCCTTTGAATGCGCTCGATTCAGCATGCATGTGTTTCGTGGAGTCTTCGGCAGGCGAAGAGACCAGCGCAGCTTGGCAATTTCGTCAGATGAAGAGGTGCGAGGCATCAAAGAATCCAAAGAAACCCGTGACCGGGGCTCGTGAGAGAGCGAGTCCTGTGTCAACATCTAGTTTCGAGCTCTTGAGCTTACTGCTGCGGCAACTGGCACTGGGCACAATGCTATGCCATGCAACATGTCCGCTTTGCCGGCTGCTGTCTGTCGGTCCCCAAAATGTTACTGGGCTGAGACTTGAGACTGGTGGTGATGACGGTGGCTTTGGTGTTGAGGGCCGGGTGGTGGACATCCTTATGTTCTCATGGGCACAAGGGTCACCTTTCCCTAGGGTTTCGCAGAAGGATGCGGTATGGTGGTGGCCTGGTCGTGACGGTACTTCGAATGTCTTCATGGGCAGCCAGCATTGCTTGGCTATCGGGAACCCAGACTGTGCCGGCCGCAAACCAAGTCCTAGCCCTAGCCTGAAGCAACGTAATGGTGTCAGTATAGTTTTGGTAGTTGAAGTGGTAGGGCCCATGGTGATGGTGGAAGTGACATTCTGGAGGCCATTTTTAAATCATTGCTGACTTTTCTGAACAAGTGAATAGCAAGAGCCGCTTCATGATTGAAATTCACGTGGCTTGTCCGTGGCCCAGGAACGACAAGATGCCTCAGAAGCCGCCGAACCTTCCAGCGAAGATCGAGATTGCGAATTTCTGAGCTGGAGACGTTGCCACTTCGGGGCTTGACAGAATCCGCTGCGTCTGAAGTCTGAAACAATTGGCGGCTCTGACCCCTCTTGCGTTGTGCTCGGATTAGTAGCCTGCAAAAGTAGCAAAGCCCGAATGGCGCTTGGTTTATCAGTTTATCCCCTGCAGACAAGATTGAACACCGACTCGATTTTCACAACAGGCTAAGGCCCTATGGGCATGGCCTTTTCATGATCTTGTTTTCAATGCATGCTGCCGACCACTGTCCCTGCAGCGTCTAAGCAGGAAACTTCATGAGTGGCTCTTCGGGAGCAGATCAGAACACACTAGAGAAGGGGCCATTTCATCCATCCACCCATGCATACATCCGTCCGTCCGTTCCGTCCATCCGTCCGTTCCGTCCGTCCCTCCATGTTTTTTCCACTGCATCAAACAGGCTACAAGTTTGATTTTCAACCCGTCTACACACCCTCGACCAACGTGCTTCCCCATGTACTGACGGCATTCAGAACCGCGGCCGTTCCCTCCACGGAAATGCTTCCGCGAGCGCTTACAAGAGTAGTTCAGCTCAATGCGGCACTACGCGTGGAGCCCGCGGACACGCCGGGTCCACAGAGAGGTTTGTCATCTCCAAGCCTACTATGTATCGGAATGTCGTTCATCGGATGGCGCTTAACAAGGCGGTGGGCACGGCACACCCATTGAGAGAGCCGTCAATTCCGAGTATGAATCGTCGCGGGAGCACGCATGCAGCGCCATTTCGCGCTGAGTAGCGCTTAGAAGGAGGGTTGTCATTTCGAGGAGAACACGAGGCCTATGTAGTGGAATTTACGTTGGATCACGCTTTGCGGAGATGCTCGCGTGCCGCGTCTACCGCGAGTGTTGTCATTTCCGAACACGAATCGCCACTGCACCGGACACGTTTTACGAGGTACGTTGAATTCTGCTTGAGAGACGGCCGTGCGAAATTGATTGAAGTTCAAAGAATCAGCGTCACGAAAACGGCACATCCTGCCATCCAAACCACCAAGGGAAACACCCTTCGCCAGGGTTTCGGGAAGGGGGGCCACCAATCGCTGGTATGAGCAGGCAGGGAAGTGGGCGTCTATCTTGCAGCACCGGGCAGATGCACAGCACGAGATGTTGCGTCGAAGGATGCCGAAGTGCAGTTTCACCAATAAGCCGGAGACCTTGATGCATCAGTGATCAGCCGACTTGACCGTTGACCGTGGAGATACCGCCCCTTCTTGGTACGATGATCATGAGCTGGGGCTTCTCGATTTGACAATCTTTTCCAGCCCGGAAGCGCAGAACCAGGGATGAGGGAGGACAGGCACCTGCATCGAGTGACAGTCTTGAACTCGTCTGTCGGATGTGGGAGGCCAGCTCCCTGGTCCCAGAGTCGCAGAAGATGTTTCTTAATTGAGGCGGATACTTGCGCGCCATTGTTAGGCGCTCGGATTTAGGAGCATTGGCAGATGCCGATGTGTTGTCGACCAGCGTTGAGTGCCAGAAGTGTTGTTACCATCACCTCAGAGGCCAATGAAAGGGTCACGCTTTGCCTCGCGGCGACCAAGAGGTAGGTCCTCAAGGCAGCAGCGCAGGTCGAGCCCTCTCGTAGGATGCACTTTGCATTGCGGATATGCCTGCGAAGATTGAAAAGACTGCAACTCCGGTGCATGGGCTGCCACGCGCAGACAGATCCCCATCACCTTGCCATCTGCAGAGTTACCGAGCAACCTGAGGCGCGGCATCAGCGACGGCAGCGGCAGCACCAGCTGCCTCTACAATTGCCATCTTGGAACAGGACCGCAAGTCGAACCAATGCGCAGAAGCAAAACGCAGACATGTAATGAAGCTTTCGAAGCTTGGATCCCCCGCGCAGGGAATTACAGGGAGAGCTGCAATTGCGGCACAGCCGTTGCTTCCGTAGGCTCTCGAGGCACCGTCGGCTGATCGTAGCAAAATATGGCCCTATGCCGTATACTTTTACTTCCCCTAGCAGCCCTAACACTTCAAACTCTGTACCAATCGCAATGAATGCGTGCAAGACGCATCTCCTTTTTACATCAATCCTTTTCCCCATATCTCTTGGCCCACACATGGTTGCAACATAGCTGCTTGCGCTCTTGCTTGTCAAGAGCCGTTCGCGATTGTCAGCGTACGTCGCCGTAGCTGAAGGTTATAGGCTAGTAATTTCCGCCTTGTCGGCCTTGACGACTTGAGCTTAAACGGCATGGTAGGAAGAACGATAAGCTGAAGCGACTGGAAAGAAGCAGCTTCCGAACTGTGTGTCTCTCGGGCGATCTCGGCCATGACGAGGAGCTCGCTCAGAGTCGTCGCCAGCTTCAGGCTTTGCAGCTCCAGCGGGAGGCTGGTTCCTTTTCCAAGCGCCGCCTGAAATCACGTTGCGTGACTCACAGCTGTCTCTTGACTTTTTTTGTCGCCTAAGCTTCCAACGAACCACTAAAAATGCGACGTGTGCCTCCGCTTGAGCCATGCAGAACCTATCCTGGGGCCTTGTCCGTCCAGGCCGAGCACAGGGCCGCAGAGGCGCGAAATGCCGAACTGCTCGCCGAGCTCGAGGCAGGGACGGGGTTGTCGACCAGGACGACCACTACGACACGACCACGACCACCAAACGATCCAAAGGAGACCGCTCAGAGGCCACCAGTAGACCACCGAAACTTCCAGGAAGGCCATCAAGACACCAGCACACCCACGGCGAAGCTGTTTCCGCCAAGTACTGCTTTCCGTCTGCTGGCAGGATTCAATGCACTGCACAAAATATCAGTGTAAACACCAGGACGTCGCGCACTAGCCAATTCTCTTTACACTTCATTTTTGGAACCCAAAGTATGTACCCCATTTTTTTGGGAGAGCAGTCCGTTTTGCAATCCTTCCTCCGTACGCGCCAACTGTCTTAGCTTGACCCGAGCCCTCTCAGGAGCTGCGGCCTCTCAGGGCGCTCCATGCGAAGCTAAGCCGCGACGAGGAGCCTTGCATGGCGGGCTAGAACAATGGTAGAAATAGCGTAGTATAGTACCGCGATAGTTATTATACTTAGGTTCTTCCGAAACCAGTTATGTTGTTACTGCACAAAGCTGTACTGCAATGGCTGTGCCGTATCATGTTTCCAAGCATTAAATTCCTGCATCACATAATGCCTTGTGAGTATTGAATGTGTCGCCGTGCAATGTAGGCTCTTGGTGATTGAGTTCGTCGGTGGCTTTCGGGATCGTAAACTCCTCTTTCGTAGCCACCACAGAGCAGCGATTGATCCTTGAATTTGAGCTTCCCTGCTTCATTAAAATTCAGTAGTTTCGCAACAGTTCCCTAAATGCCACAAGTTCTTCGGTGAATAAATACTTTAGAGTTCTCGCATTTGGACATGAGAAGAATTTCGGCATTAACATCTAGGTAAGTACTTCTGCTCTTTGAACCCAGCCTGTCCCCCGAGCTTCGGAATTGACCTGCAGGCTCTGCCACCACCACGAGCTCCCACGTCACCGACAGACTCCGTAGGCCCTTGGGGGATCTCGAAACCGTTCCGGATTTCATGAAAGAAAAAGCTAAACACTTCTGCTCTATCTATCTACCTACCTATCTACCTACCTACCTACCTACCTACCTACCTACCTATCTATCTATCTATCTATCTATCTATCTATCTATCTATCTACTTATCTATATGACATGTAAATACTTTGCCTGTCATTCTCGGAGGTAACGGAAAGCTACTTGATTGTGCAGACGCTTGCCTCGGCCCTCTCATGCAATAGCTGTCGCAAATCACAAGTTCTACCACGTTCGACCTGCGCAGCCGGAGGCTCCATGACCCGAGCAGAGGTGGACGAGCTTGTCCGGACCAGGCAAGCAGCCAGCACATGTTGCGAGTGCTTCAGTTTTTGTTGCGGGCTGTTTATCACAGAGGCCCCGAGTTTGCCTTGTTTCGGGACGTCTTAGGTGAGCCGCAGGATATACAGACAGATACAGCCTCGTCGGCAGCATGCAGCACCAAAATGGTGGAGCGGTCAAGCGTCTCAGCCGGAAAAGTTGGCGAAGAAGCATCGGAGAGCATCCCATACCATGCCCCCACACATTTTGCGATGAGGGAGCTCTACACCACAAGCACAGCAACACGGCATTCGGCATACGCATTCCTGAGCGCAATGGCGCAGCTTACATGGTCCCACTGGGGGCTTCAGCCGCGGCGGTGTGTCTTGCAACAGGAAAAGATTCTGGTGGTCCAGGCACGTGCCAGCGCATTCTTTATGAGATGCTCACACTAGTTTCAGATACTCTTGAATATTGTTCCCGATCGGCGAGTGGAAGCTCGTTTCTCCTGTTGCAAGGCCTACCAGAACTTCCCATGCGCGCCTTTACACAAAGAGCAGCAGCGTGGGGCCTTCTGTCTGTGCAAGGTGGGGCTTCGTGCGGATCTCTTGGAGTGTTTGGGAGTGTGAGCTTGATGGCGTGTTGACGGATTTCAAGTTCGTCTGGCTGTGGCTATGTGGTCAAGCTTTTTTCTGGGGTTGGGGGCCTAAACAGACTGGGATCAACACCGGCGAAAAGAAAGAGATAAACCCATGCCTTGGACCTGCACGGACAACAACAAAGGGTGAACACAAGAACAATATACCGAAGAGCTACGCAGTACAACTACAACTACAAGTTTGGCGTTGTTGCCAGTTTCATTTTGTGGGCATCACAAAATTACCACCGTGACACCGTCGTTAAAGTCTCGCTCTGAGCATTCTGGCCATTCTTCCGGTGAGTGTTGTTGTTATGATCTTGCTATCTCCACTGTTGTGGCTCTCAAGCAGTCATGCACTAGGAATGATTCGGGTTGCCTGGTATGTCAAGTTTATCGAACTCTTTGTAGCCACCGGTCTGTAACACGGGTCGTAAAATTGTGCTGGCACGGGCACCAGATGTATGCACACGACAAAGCTCTTGACGGACAGTCACTTCTCGGCATGTTGTACGAGGCCATGCCGCCCCATCCCACGGCGGCCCGCCCAGCTAAGCCAGTGATGCACCTGTAAATAGTTGATTCTTGGTGATGTTGTTTCATGTTGTATTGCTTTGCTGCCTCACGTGCTTCTGGCGTCACATCCAGCTTGTCCCGCTTGGAGTGTCAGATCTCCGACTGCACTCTTTCATGGGGCACTGATGCTGGCTGCTCCCCGAAGTTTAACCATAAGGCCAATCAGAGACGACTTGGCGATTTAAACTCATGATGCCAGGTGTAATGTGCCATGTTTCACAAGTGTGCGAAACGTTCGAAGGCAAGTGCAAGGAATTCGAACCAAGCAGTTAGACAACCAAAGCTCGGAAGCAAACTTCCTCATGTCCCCAGCCCCAGCTTGTGCGTGGTGCAAGGGCTCGGCCCTGGGTGTTGTAGCCACCACGGTGGTGGCGCGGCGCTGTAGAACGCTGCGTGCCCCGGTGCAGGAGGGCTCCTGGGATTTCAGCGTTTTCGGGAACGAGAGCCAGAAGCGACCCCAAGCAATGAGGGGATGGCTATGGCTGTGGACCGTGGACTGTCTGATGAAGCTCGTTTGTGTGCGCTTGAAGCTTAGAGCTGGGCTTCGGCCTCGAACTGTAGACATTGAAGATTATGGAGTCTTGGAGCATACATTGACGGAGCCACACGCCTGGCTGCAGTGAGGTGCGAAGACTGTCTGCCGTGCAACGGCAGCCCCTGTGGACGCCTTGCGCATTTGAGGGGATGCGAACATCATGGCGAAGATTGCTAATACCAGGGCTTATCGTTGTCCAAGTGGTTAGTGGTGGTGCAGTGGTGGTGGCGCTTATGATGCTTGCGGGTGGCGGGAGTGGTAGTGACCTGCTGGTGGTCGTGGTGGTGGTGGTAAACGTGGTCGTTCGTGCTCGTCGTCGTCGATATGATAAGTAGTAGCGGGAGCAGCACTACTATGTACGACCCTTAGTGCGATTCAGACAAGAAGTGAGAGCACATAGCTCCACCCCACACTATGGCAACGTGTTCTTCCCAACCAAGAGGGTTCGCTTGAAACCGAACTTACGAGCAGCCTCTGCGCCAGAGAGATACAAGCCCATGTCGAGCTGTAGCGAGGAGATTCTTCCCATTCCAGGAAAAGGATTTGGGGCGATCGCGGCGAGGGACATTGCCAGGCCGGATGGGTGATTCTTTGGTGATATGATCTACAACCTACAAGGTTACAAGGCAAGCTCCCGCAGATGACATGGACATCGGTTGTGATCGCAGTCGTCGGGTTTGAAGATTGGAAAGGAGATTCTGTGCTTGGGCCCCGTGGTTTATATTCCGGAAACTACTCCAATACACATGTTTTCTCCAGTCTCCGCGGTTCATAACAGGATGGTACGTCCCGTAGCAGGCAACAGCATACATGCCACGAATTGCAGCTGCCTTTCTTCATCCCTAAATACCAGGGGTGAGTTGGTCCTCGAGGAGCGGCCGCATCCTGGTTGAATGTTTTTTCGTGGAAGTTTCAACAAACAAGGAGGGGCCGTACATTGGAGTTAAACAATACAGATCCAGATACCACAGATAACACAGATCCATTTTCAACATCATTATTTAGACAGTCCCGGTTGGGTATGGCAGTGTTGTTTCCCTATGTCTGCATTCTAAGGTAAACGATATTGGAACAATACCTACGTTTGCAGGGAAAGCACTCACGGGACTGATGCTGCCAGAGATGCGGGCCAATTGTGTGTCAAGTTGCGCGAAGATATGACATGAGGTCATCGCTCTCATTGCCTCAATGTTGATTGGCAGTGTTCCCTGTTTCGTCTCTTCCAGAACTGTTGAATGGGTTGGAGGTGAATCCAGCGGCATTGAACCGAGGACCATAACATATCAAGCGGGCAGCGACTGGCCATTGTCCTTGCAGCAGCAGTTCGTGGCCTAGCCAAAGTGTAGCCGGGTGAAGTCTGTTGCATCCGCGGAGGAGGAAAGTGCCAGGATTTTGGCATATTGTTCATCGTTGGCACCAGGGAGTGCTTTAACCAGGGAGTGTGGTTTTGCTTTTGTGCCCCACCCACGACTCCGACTTAGAAGGTGATCGGCTAAAGAGCTTGGATCAGATCTTCGCTGGTGACGTGCCGGATCATATGGGAGCCTGAAACCTTTCCACGTTTTCAAGCTAATACTGTTCTCAGCCGTCCCAGCTCAAGAACCAGCATCACGTTTCAGGCACTCAGTTCATTTCTTCCATTTTCTTCCCGTTTTCTTGGGTACCACTGACGAGGCCAGGCTGGATTCTGCGTTCCAGCTTTTGCCACGAGCAATACACATTCGCGGTCATGATCGTCGTGGTCGTCGAGGTCCCCATTATCGCCACCATTTTGGCAGCAGTAGAGCAGTAGTGGCAATGGTCACAATGACAATCCTGGTGATGATTGGTGGAAGGCATGGTAGTAGCAAGGACCAGTTTAGTAAACGTTACCCTACCAATACCAAGCAGTATGAGACCAGAGGAACAGGCACAACCATGATGTTGCAACATCGTAATCGCGACAGAGTACTCTTGTGTCATCACGCAAGGACAAGCTGCCGGTCGCATCGCAATCGGCGGTCATGGACCTCTGCGATGCACCGCGGCTTGGGGCTGTTTTTAAGGCTCTGCGCAGGATACGGGAGTGATGTTGACAAGGTAAGTACCTTAAGGACACCGGAATGGATTGCGGCTTCGCCCGCAACTTCAGGAAAAACCGAGTCGTGCGTCCCGGAAGCTGTATAACAGGGAGGGCTGGAATACTCCATTCTTCATGCGAGCCAGGTGCGAGTGAAATCTCGAGAGAACGATTGTGATCCGGTCTTGTCTTGCTGGTTGCGAGATCGACCCTCAGATAAACCCGGACGAGTCCAGGAACCCCTGAAAAACATCTTCAGCCCGCGTCGTTTCCCTCGTCAAGCCTCAGATCCGCCTGGACGCCCCCACCCCACCTCGTACTTAGACTTTTTCCCCAGAAATGTACGACGAAGGTCTTGGGCGTGGGTCTGCTTGCCGGGGACTGGCCACCATGCATCCGCAACGCGAGCATCATGAGCATCAGCTGCGCTGGTTCTTGCC